ATATATACATATATATATATATATATATATATAATATATATATATTGTATATATATATATATATATATATATAACATATATATCTCTGCATATATATATACATATATATATATTATATTCCTATACCTATTCCCATACCTGTGCCTTTATCTATATCTATATATTATCTAGATCTATACTACATAGATAAGCAGATACATAGACATAGATAAACAGATACAAAAATATACATATAAATATACGTATATATATATATATATAAATTAAGATATATATATATATAATATTTTGAAATATGTACTCTGAAATTGTATCGCTATGTATAATAATCCTTGTTTGTAAACATGTATATCATAGTTGAAAAATAAACAAATTCAGAATGTATGTCTGTATTTGTTCAGCCATTCACGGTGCATATATGGCTATGTGTATATAGAGGCATGTTATATAGAAAATAATAGAAGGGTCGCCAAATACTACGTATGTTACACATATATGGAATAAAAGTGCATGTTCTTTAAAATATCTAGATGTAAATATGTATAGTTATATGTATTGTCACCCTGTATGTGCTACAGTCTGCTATTAAAACCGTATGTACTATCAAAACGGTCATATGACTGATATACTGATCACGAATACGCTGGCCTTTGCCTCAATCGTGTTAAATATAATATTCAGTTATCTGTAAAATGCATGTTGCTATCGCACAAAACAATATAGTAACACTAGAGCCACTTTTACCACAGTTTATACACTTAACTCCCTTACACGCAATACGAACTGACCAATTGCCTATGAAATAGATTAACTGCATACGTCTATCACATAGCCACAAACCCATATAACACAGAACAATTTGTACTTCCACGATAAACATGTATTCGTAACCCAATTAACGTTCTCCTGACTCTCCGTAGAAAACAGCAAGCTAGCATACTCACATACTCACCTTTGCCGCGAATGCGTACCAGTATCGTGAATCGACTAGCGATGTTTTCAACACCATGCCACAAATGACTAGCCAATAAGTACAGTGAACCACACATTATGTACAAATTACAAGTGCCCTCGAACTTATACCATTATGAATATATTTATATATACATATATATAAATATATATATATAAATATATATATATCATATACATACATATATAAATATATATATATTTATATCCATCAATCTAACTATGTATATATATACATCCATAATTTTACATATAAATATTTATATGTATACATCCATACATACATTTATATATACATACATACACAGCTTCATATCTGCATGCATATATGCATAAATAACATATATATATCTATATATTATATTATATATATATATATATAAATATATATATGTATACATATATATATATATATATATATAAATATATATATATATAACTAAATATATATGCATATAAAATCATAAAACAATAAAGACATTGATATATATATATACAACCATAATTTTACATATAAATATTTATATGTATACATCCATACATACATTTATATATACATACATACACAGCTTCATACCTGCATGCATATATGCATAAATAACATATATAATTATATATATATATATATAAGTATATATACATACATATTAATATATATATATACAAACATGCAAGCATATGAATGTATATTTATGATACGTATATATATATATATATATGTGTGTGTGTGTATATATGTATATATATATGTGTGTGTGTATATATATATATTGTTCATCTTTCAAGCGAAACCTATGTTTGAAATTTGGTATAACTGATATGACGCTAGAAATAATACCTTCGGATAAATATATTGTATACAATCCGTCCAGCGAACACTTATGAAGTACACATACTCATACTCATATTCACCTATCCACACACGCCGTACTCAAGTAATAGTTATTGCCCATTAACACACACATGCAAGTTGACCAGATACAGCAACTGTTATTTGTAGGGAGCCTATCGTGCGCAGTGTAGTGTGTATTTACCATGTTGCTTCCAGGAAAACTATGAGCCACTTCCTCACATCGGCAACCAGATCTGTTTGAAACTGCACTATTTCCGGTAGAAAATTGGACAGCAATTTAGGCTCTCTATTGAGCAGCAGTTCTTTGACCTGATTGAGACTCTTGATTTTCTCGTCCTTCCCTGCGGCCAGTTGGGTGTCCTGTAGCAACTGTGCTACTGCATCGCTCACACTTGCGGATGCATTGGATGTGTTGTTATCCATGGCTGCTGTGTGTGTATGCTTATATTTACAGTATTATTGTGATAGTCGGTTTAGCTGACTATGTATATGCTTGGAATTCCGTGTTATACATTCATATATACATATACAACTATATAT